TGTCTTTATGTCTCTTTCTGTTATAGAAACTATATATATATATATATATATATATATATATATATATATATGTCATATTGACGTATTTTTGTAACCTTACTTACAAGGTTGATATAAACTGCAACCTCTTGTTTCACCCTTTTTGGGCTCATCAAGTGGTTCCAAGTCCTTATCAGTCTTACTTCCTACTAGTACCACTACCATTACTACTAATAATAATCATTCAGATGTACCAACCTTTTTGGTGCCTAGCTGCCATGCCAACGGAAGGAGGCACGAGGGCTAGGATACCTACAGATTGCTCAAGTCTAGATAGGAGCAGAGGAGATGCTAAGTTTGGGTTCGGATCACAGACCTTTCTGTCAATAATATAACTCGTTAAGCACTGTCCTATCTCGAGCTCTATTCCCTACTAAAAAACCAGATCATGACGACTGTAATATCAAGAAAAATAACTCGATATTTTCAATGTCGTTCCGACTGAGATATGAGTTGGCTTCCGTGCAACACAGTCAGCGACGGATTCTGCTGCAATTCAGTTCGGTTATTTGAAAAAATCCACTTACTTACAATCAGTTGTTCGCCTGGGAAATGAAATTTGGGGAGTTCGCCCGCCTGGTGGCAAAACCGGTAATCAGTTGGTGAAGTGTTTTTAACTTTGTAAGTAGGCTTATAACAAGGGGTCTCTGTTTCATGTGGACTCAAGAGTTTGTGATTGGCCTCGGAGTTTCCTGTTCTCTCGGGGGTGCAGAATAGTGTGTACGTAGACGTTGTTGGTTGCCATGGTGCCAGCAGAGGGTTTTCTTTGGAGACCTTACTGACCAATCTGTATGGTTCACTTCTGTGTAAATTAGTGCATGAATATATTTGCCTCCGGCCTGTAATCAGATAAATCTGCGACACCGTAAGACCTTTTGGACTCTCCTTTGTCCTTTAATGCGATCTTGAGTTAGTTCTTCCACTGTTTGTGCCTTGAATCGCTGCTGCATCAACCGTTTGTCTTAATTACTCCTATCTTCCTGCTTAGTGGTTTGAGCGCGTCCAAGTAACGGTAACGACCGGAGTGTGTTGGTTTTTCTACAGACGTGCCTCATCTGTTGCTTATCATGACAAAACACTCCAAGAAGGACAAAGTTCTGTTTTCATATTCAATTTCTGCACTGATCAGAATCATAGCACACCGCTTCCCGGGGATTTATGATAGCAATTCGGTTTGCTGCCGTTGTGTAACGACGACTTGATCGTTCGTCTATCTTCATCATGTTCGAGTTATCTTCGAAAAAAAAAGTCCCATTTCAGTAGACGATTCGTGGCCACGTTCACTACAATAATGGAGATGAAAGGATGCAGTACAATCCTGCTCCAAAAGGTTTTATCGTCATTGAGAGTGAGAGGGTAATGTTTGTGTTTAAGCTGGGAAGCATGTCTAATTTAACTTGCAAATTGTTCTCTCTGTGTCCGAGCGTGTGTTGGATGTATCTTTACAAGTTTTTGGTTGCACACTTAACGTAATCCACTGTGGGGCGTAAAATGTCACCTAGTATGTGTTCAGTAATCTGCAGGAAACTCTTGGTTGATTTGGCTGTAGAGAAATTGTTACCTTTTCTGCGCTTCCAGTCTTCGTTTTCGGTTTCCTTAGGTAGCTACATTTTGTGGTTTACTCTTGTTCAGTTCTGGCTTATCTGTCATATCTAGTCGTAATGATAATGAAATATTGCTAAGTTGCAAGGCACAACTGAATGAGGCCAAAAACAAACCATGTCCCAGTGATTTTTTTCAGTCCCTTTTTGGTTTGGAATGGCCGTTGCCGGTATGAATGATACTCTTTCGAAGCCAGTGTTACACTAAGACATGACTCAGCCTACTCGGGCGATAGCTGTTTGATTCAACTTCCGAGATAAGTTTTCATGTATAAGTGCTTTTTACTGCTACTGAAGCTTAGGCCACGTCGAAGGATTCCTGCACTGCTAAATTGTTTATCAGAGAGGTTGACGATGATCCCTTTTGGGTCAGTTATTCTGTAGGTCGAGTCCGTGATCTCTGTGGCATTGTGGTTGCGAAATTTTTTTGGGTTACTTAACTTCAGAATATTGACACTAAGTCACAATATGCTGTCTAGCAGCGAAAGTAGAGTGGGGGTTCCGTGGGGTGGTATGATGGGGCGCAATGGCTTAATTAGTCTGACCACACCAAATAGGTCATATCGTTTGTGTTTTTGTTAACGACCAAAATCATGCGCACTGCTAGGTGGGCGAATGTGAGGTCCGGTGATTGACGTGTGACTTACACGTCACAAGCACGGACAAAATGCTGTCTGCGAACCGGAAGGAGAGGAGGATTTTTCTATCTTGTCTAACTTCGGACGAGTTAAGCTCTTAGGACTGCTCATCTCTAGCTGCCATGGTGATTTTCTGATTTCTGCCGCTCACGTTTGTAACACAAGATCGCATCGTTAGGTGTAGTAAAGCTTTTCTCACAAGGCCATCAGTTGCGTCGTGATCTCATGGATCTAGAAATATTTAAAGTTAACACTCCTAACTGGATGTGCGAAACAACAGTTACACCAACTATATGCATTCAAAGGGGCCGTCCATTATATCTTCAAATTTACCGAATAGGACCACTCGTCATACCATCAGCTATAAAGAGCTCTACACATGTGACCTAATTAGAGAGGTTTCTAATTCAGCTTGGACAGGGGCGTGTTGTTTATTAGGTTGGACGTCGTCTTAGAGAAATTCACTCAATCAATAAACCTTGACTTTGTGGTGGAACTACCCCTTGGTAGTTTCCTGAATGCACTCCCAGTTTGATTCCACAGTGGCAAAACTTTCGATTGACGGTCGTTTGACCGTCGGTTGAACGGTTTTCTATCTAATGAATCCCATTTTAGTATGAACTAGTCCCAAACGATGTCTACTCATTTGGATTACCTGTTTGGATTCTTTTCTTCCCCTTGAACACGAATTTCTGTAGTCACCCAACTTGTCTAATCCGCTGTACATGCAAAAAATTATCATAACCGGAGGTGGTAAGAGATTGCTTCTTAGAGGAATCAAGAAATTTTTTCCTCGTGATGTCCTCTCTTATATGGACTTAAGTGTATGTAGGACCAGTGGATATTTTATTGCCAACTGATGATGAACACATTGTCTTTGTGTTCACCAGGATAGGACGTTCGAAGATAAACTGGCGTGTGGCTAGGTATGAACTCCGTAATGAACAGCTTTCTGCTGTTTTTCCGAAGTGGTCTAGTTCTTTCATGCTTTTGACAAAGCTCGGGTCGTCATCTAGTTTTGATATCCATCGAAGCTGGTATTCACTAATTGTATGTGCCTCAAGTCTCGTGAGCTCCCAAGGAAGGAAAGTTTGTTGTCTTGTGCAGCGTCGTTCCAGAACAGTGAAACCCACCAAATTATCATGAATACTCTTCAACAGCCTCGCCTCACACATCGTCCGCACAACCGTTCTTTTGCTTCTACAGAAAGCCATCCCTGTCGTTGTTGATCATAGCGAGGAAACACAAATCACAGACCTATTCGTTCGTATCCGTCGGGAACAACGAGGTCGCCTAGATGTGTTGGTCAATAATGCCTATTCAGCAGTGCCATTCTTGAAGCGGTCTCTTGGAAAAGCTTACTACGAGATCGATGCATACAGTCCAGGAGAAGTCTGGGACGAGGTTAATAACGTGGGCCTTCGAAACCATTACATCTGCTCAGCGCTGGCCACGAAAGTGATGATAGACTATAAAAAGCAAGAGCCATCTGCGCGTCCTGGATTGATCATCAATATTTCCTCTTTTGGTGCCTGTCGCTATGCGTTCAGTGCAGTTTACGGATGTGGTAAGATATTTTTGCATATTTTATGGGGTAAAAGGTGACTACAAGGGATGTCTGTTACTTGAACCCACTGCAATATTGTGGTGCTTCATTCAACTAAATGTTCTATGATAATCTAAAGTGTGATTACTTTCAACAATATCCTATTATTCTCATAAAGGAAACTACTCACAAGGTTGCTGAAAACTCTTCGATAGCCCACGACCGGTTTTGCCCTTCTTGGGGCTCAGCAGGTAAGCGCAGTCCCCGAGTTTCCGTCAACCTTATGTTCTGCTTGAACCCAAATTGGACGGTTTTGGAGAAATACACTCATTTGCAAATCAATTTGGTTTTAACGAGAGGCTCAATTGAATCTCCCGTTTATGATATTCTACAACTGAATGTGCTGCACACAGGCAGCCTCATGATCCAGCTGGCACGATATTCGAGATATCGCAGTATATTTTCTTAGAGGAAACTACTCACAAGGTTGCTGAAAACTCTTCGATAGCCCACGACCGGTTTTGCCCTTCTTGGGGCTCAGCAGGTAAGCGCAGTCCCCGAGTTTCCGTCAACCTTATGTTCTGCTTGAACCCAAATTGGACGGTTTTGGAGAAATACACTCATTTGCAAATCAATTTGGTTTTAACGAGAGGCTCAATTGAATCTCCCGTTTATGATATTCTACAACTGAATGTGCTGCACACAGGCAGCCTCATGATCCAGCTGGCACGATATTCGAGATATCGCAGTATATTTTCTTAGAGGAAACTACTCACAAGGTCGCTGAAAACTCTTTAACAGCCCACGACCGGTTTCGCCCTTGTTGGGGCTCATCAAGCAGGCGCTTTGTGCAAAACCTAGCTTCTTCATGAGTAGTTCGATTGGTTTTTCTCACGACAGCCTATGTGAACGCGTTCGGTCGTTCTTCCTGCAGACAAACCATCGTTCACAGTGGTCCCCCTAATAGAGTGGATCCAAATAGAAACCTGTCCCCTCCAACATAAGATTTCCTTCCGCTCTAGCTAATCTCAACATTCATTGGCTGGCAATGGTCCACTTATTATTGCTCGATCAGGTATTCTTAGGACATCCTTTCTCCTATTTGTTTCGTAGGGAGAACCGCACAATAACGCAACGGCGTCACAGTACTGGAGGCGCGGTTTAGTTCACTTCAGTTTATCAGCTGCAAACCATGTACCAGGATTATGTTGGTTCTAGCTGCTACAGTTTTGACCACCGGAGAGTGGGAGAGGTAGTCAAGCATTAGAGAGTGGTATCATCAGTTAGTTCGGGAAACTGGACAGCTACGCATTGAAGGCGATAACTTTGATGCGGCAGCGCCAATGGTTGCGTGATTGGGTCGTGTGCACCAGTGTCGCTAACCATTGGGAAGCTGAGTTCCGAGGTCCCCGTCCAGGTACGAGGGAGTTTTCGACCTAACTATGCTTACTGATTAGTGCTTACGTGTTTCGTTGCCAGGTCATGCACTGTCCATATCTTGTTTGCTTTTGCTCCCTACAGGGCTTGGCGAGAATGGCTCTACACGGTAGACAGTCGACTGGTATTCGGAATACGTCCTATGAAGCATAATCTATTTTAGCCAAAAACCTCTAAACTTTCTGACATTTAACAGAGTCAAAAGCGGTTTTCAAACCAATAAAAACGACCAACTCTGGAAGAGCGACGCTGTCCACAAAATCATCTCAAAGTAAACATGTGGTCTATCCATCCTCGGTCATGTAAAAACCCAGCTTGATTCTCACGAGTTTTCCTCTCCCGGTAACCATCAGCCTACGCGAAACAGTGCTACTAAGCACCCTGGTACACGGCTATCGGGCTGATGCCAGGATGGTTTTCGTGTGACATTCTTCTTGAAGGCTGGGATCACCGTCGATATGCTCAATTCTCATGGTGTTTTGTTTTCGTCTCAAATCTTACGCAGTTGTGTCGCTGGACTGTTCAGCTGGGCTTCACCACCTTTCGTAAGTGAGGGGTGCAGACCACCGTCTCATCGGAGGAATTATACGCTGGTTTGCCGTTGTTGACGGCGATAGAGACTGCTGGACGAGGAGAGAATTTACCGTAGTCACATACACGCCCATGGGAGGAGGCATGTAGGACCTATGTGAGAGACAAATTTAGGAAGAACACCCTTCATCGCCAGACACAGCCAAAGTTTCTGATGATCAGCGGAGTTCGAAAAATATCTGGTATCGAGAAAGACAATCATTGCTAGTCATCGGGAGGAGTTACACGTTTGTGGCACTTATCATATAGTGAAGATGATTGATACAGTTCTTGTTAGGGCAAAACGCAGCTCGACGCTCGCGAATGTGACTGTGCCGCTGATGGTTCAACATTCGTAGAATAGCACCAGAACGCATCTCGGTAACTGTGGTCACTAGGCTGATACCGCGGTAATTTTGGTGATGTTCCTGCACCCTTTTGAACACGCGAATCATTATCGATAGGTCTGTTTTCTCGGTATTCTTTCCTCATTCCAGATGAAGTTAGCACGAAATACTGGTTACCTTTTTTTAGGAGCGCAGGGTGCAAACTGTCCGTTTGTTTCGTTGAAGCAATGAGATTGCATGCTGGACTTCTGTTGTCGGTGGCGGACTGTTGTCAATGTTCCACTCTGGTTTATCTACTCCATCTAGAGGTTGAGTTGATGAGAGACAGCTGAAATGTTCTTCAAACTGTTCAGCCTGTCGTTCAAAACGACGTTTTTGTAAATTAGTTGTGGTCCTGTTCCTTTCGGATACGGTTTCACCAGCACCCACCCTCCTCCGGCCACTTGATGGGATTAGCTGGAACAGGGTGCGATTGTTTCCCGTTATAAAACCTATCTCCATTTCTCGAGCTTTTGAGATCCATCAGTGCTCTCTATCAACCCCTAGACTATTAATCAGTTTTTGAGGGACCCGCGCGCGCTGTCAAAGTCGTTTGTTGTTGTTATGCTTTACTGACCTTAATCGGAGCTGTTGATCATGACAAGATCCAGTGTTCCTTGAGGTATGCGAGTGACCTGGATCAGATGGCTTCAGAGACTGTGATCACTACTTCTTTAACCTTTCTCCAATCGTCATCAATATCACCATTGTGCCCGCCGAGTTCTGAAAGCTATTCAGCCAACTCAGCTGGATATTGCTGAACTCTAGAGAATGAATGAATGAACCAAATGCCTCTGCATCAACGGACGTGTGCCAGAAGGCAAGCGAATAGATGCGCATACCCGCACAGTACCGTGATCGCAGTCTAGCGGTGTACACCGAACTAAGTAAGTGGCTTGTATCAACCCCCCCCCCACTGGTAGTTTTTCACCACATGGTGCGGTTTGCAGTTGGTGGCCTCCAAATCACACGGTGTAAGCAGCTGTTCTGATAGTTTGTGCTCGCTATAAAAAATGATGTTCAGCACATGACTGGAGCATGGACTTTGCGCGACCACCCAACGTCCGTGTGTTCCGTCTATCATCTGGCAGATGGAATGGGTAAAAGCGCGGACAGGCCAATTGAAAATTATCAGTACCCCCCCCCCACTGGTAGTTTTTCACCACATGGTGCGGTTTGCAGTTGGTGGCCTCCAAATCACACGGTGTAAGCAGCTGTTCTGATAGTTTGTGCTCGCTATAAAAAATGATGTTCAGCACATGACTGGAGCATGGACTTTGCGCGACCACCCAACGTCCGTGTGTTCCGTCTATCATCTGGCAGATGGAATGGGTAAAAGCGCGGACAGGCCAATTGAAAATTATCAGTATTGGTTCGAACGTTATGGTTACCCATTCTCTGCTTGTTAAGTACCCGGTGGTTCCGCCTGATCGGTTACCAAAACAAAAACAAACAAAATAGCATACGGTGGATAGTATTAAATAATGGGTGAGCCTGGTGGCTCTTGTTAGAATTGTTTAGGCTTCGACCGTACTTCATTTGCGGTATCTGACACAGATTGAATTCCCCAGTCTTTCATGGAAATGCAAGTTACCACAATTCTGTCCCGTTTGTGAGACATCGCAGTGATATGTTACCCAGTGTTGAGTGTTCCCATGATTGTTTGGGGAGCTTTTTGAGTTGTATTCTGTTCATACATCTTATTCGTTTTCATACTGTCTGGACCTCCACTTTTGTGCCTCATTTACCTCAAACATTATTGGTGTTTTTCAGCTCTTGTTAGATGCACGCTATTTTGTTCTTTGACAAATGAGCCATTTAATCTGTTCTTTCAGCCCGTCGAATAAGGACTGAATGATGCTGTTAGAATTTCGCATTCCTAACTTTGATCTTCATTGCAGGCAAAGCCGCCCTTGATAGGCTAACTCATGATATGAACGTTGAATTAAAACGCAACAAGGTGGATGTATGCGTTATCAGTCTGTGGCCCGGATTGGTTCGTACGGAGGAAATGATGAACGTGGCGGTGAACACAACTAAGGAATTTTTAGCCGCATTTCGTGACCCATCCCTGTGTGAGTTTACATTACACTGGCTCCCTCTGTATAGCCCACCTGAAAACATTACAAAACAAAGTCAACGATAACTGGGCCGGCTGCGAGAGTGGCCTGTTTAGAAGTATGGGAGCTTTACACCGTCTTCCTTAGCTGATCGATTGATGTGCTACATATCCCTCCTCTAGTCCGGATGAAGTTTCAATCGCACTTTTGCGAATACTGATTTAGGAATCTTGCCTGTTGGTTTTGCATCTGGTACTTTGACACCGAAAAGGTGAATTCGTGTGACTCGTAGACCTGATTTATTGGGCGTTATACATGCATTTATCAACACGGTAGTTCATCGGCGTTATCAGGAGCCTTTAGGTGGTTACGGGCGAATACTATGCAAAGGATGAACATCAAAATGAGACTGTTGTCCTTTCCAACTAACTTTATCGTTCACTAGAAATGCATCTAACCCACCTGCATTTTTGCCGATAAATGGCTATGTACTTGCTCCTGTTTATTAAACGCAATAAAACCCCTCTACATTACACGTATGCCTACATCAGTCACCCCTTTATCATCATTTCCGATTGTGTCTATGAGTCCACTGTTTTGACAACCGTGGACTTAGGTTGCAATATTCTGGTAGTATTTCGTGCTTATCTCTATTTAAGTAGCACACTGAGATACAACTTTTCTACTCATCATCGGGTTGTTTAATCCACCCAAAACGACCGCTTCCGACCATGGTCTTCGCTGATCACTGCGGTGGAATTTGATTCATCTTTTTGTGATCGTACTTATTAATCGGATAGGTTTCTGAAATGGAAACCATTCCTTTATCTTTGGTCTGAATTCAGCCAAGGCACCCAACGACCTATTTGTCATTAGTGATGTCGTGTGAGTCTAATGGCCACAGCGATATTTTTGCTGAATGCTGCACCCAAACTCAACGAACAGTCGTTGTTTGGTATGTGATTGCCTTATATGGTTGTCCAAAGAGATTGGTAGAGCTTGAACATCTACAATTAGTAGGGTCGCCCAACCCGTACTATTGACACTTTAGTGAGTATTTGTTATGACGGGCACTTCCTTCTACATCGGTCTTCTACTTCCAGAGTTTCATCTTATAAATTATCCATCCGCAACAAATCTATCTGCGAACACAGGAGTACCTTGTGCGCATTGTTTTGCCCCATCCTTCCCTAAGTTTTCCAAACTAGTTTCCATATACTGTGCGAGTCATACCGGTTACGGCCGAATAGGTCCATAATCTTTCACAGATGATAAACAGTGACTCACCGATCGGTTTCAAGCTCTCACCAGCTGTTTAACGGTTGAATCCGTTGTGCCGATGCCAGCACAAACAAGTGTTATTGTACGTGCAGCCACGAACTTGGAATGAATGAGCTAAGCGTCTTGCAAATCGCTTTTGTAATGCCCGGGCATTCTAGGAAAAAAGTGCAACTGTGCCATAGCCTTAATGACTTCTACATGTAACTTACGTAGTGCTGTTGTGGAAATCAGCTTTCTCTGGATAACGTGGTGTATTTTGCGAACAGTTTCGGCGGTACCACTCGTGTTTTTGTCTATCATAAAGCTTCCACCAACTCTGACAGTGCAGTTTCCTTCCACGTGTGCATTACTCCGTCCCTACCCACTGTTTCTTCAGGGACCTCGGTTTGTTGACACTATCCAGTGGCTTTCTAGTTAAGCGTTGCGTGTTAGGTTGGGAAAAAGTGCTGTTTAGGGCCCCTATTTCGATTGAAATACTGACGTCAGGGGGCTTCTCGAGCCTTATTTAGAGAATTCAAGGTGTTTTTTGGAAAAAAATGGCCGTGGATTGCTTTTTAATTCAGGTAGCGCCTTTATTCGAATAGCTGCCGAGTGTCACGCGATGACTTCCCACAGAGTTATCGGAGAATCGTAGTTTCCCATATTATTCTTGGTACCGGCGGTTGACGAGTACACGCACGTCATGCGTGACATCCTGCAACCGCAGACAAAATGTGCGTCGAAGTGGTGCTGAAATTCCCCCCAGAAAAAACTTCTAGCCATATTTGTCCACTGCTAGCGTCAAAAGGATCGGCAATGGCCTACATGTACTCATTTCTGTAGACCCGAAGCACTCGTACTGTTCCCTGTGACAGATATGGGAACAGTAAGATGTGCCCTCCACCAGGTAACTGTCATCTTCAAATTCAAGGGGATTGCACTGCTGTTTTTTTCGCGACGTGAGGCGGATCAAAATGGCCTACCCTAAAGACTACACCCTTACACAGCCTAACGACTGAAGGTGATTGCCGGCGTCTGGTGCTTAAAAAATACCTTTTATTCGCAATAGCTTTAGAAGTTAGACTTCATTACCTGCACCCTTAGGTTACGTCAACCTCCAGCTGCCCTGAGGTCGAATGCTTGGGATGGGATATCCGGAATAAACCCTTATTTCTGGTATCAACAGACAAATCACTCCACGTCACTGTACAACGCTGATTATCTAGAAAAAAGGAATATATGGCTTCATATTCAGATGAAAAAAACAAAATCCAACAAATCATTTGTCGTACCCGATCAGATCTACGTATTCAAGTGATTCTCTTCCATTTGGGTGATTTTAGTGTTCCAGGATTCAGAAACGTGGAAAACAGACAGTATTGGGTCCTTTTGGAATCGAACTAGTGAATGATAACAGCTTAAGCTTACCAATATTTTTAATAGCATGAAAACTTTCAATAACAGATACGTGGCTCAGTGTGAACGGACACCACTTGCAGTGTGAACACATCCAGGAAGTGTACACAGACATCTAATCGACCATGTTATCTTGCATCAAGATGTCGCTAATCTGCTGACAAAGGACTGTGTGGAGCTAATCTTAATACGATCCGCTGTCTGGCGTCTCCGAAAATTTTTTGGCGCGTGAAGAACTTCCATTTTGTGGACTAGGAGAAAACTCATTCATTCATTCATTCAAAAAATACAGATGATCCACAAAAATGCACTGGAATCTCTCGAAGCTCTGATGTGAGTGATGGTGAATAGGTAATTCCCAAGTACGTCCGGGGTTCAGAATATGAACGCTTATATGAGCAGCTCCTCTGGATTCAACTACACCAAAGCAACAGCGGCGGCAAGACTGCTTTCATGAGACTGGTTCATCGTTATCTACGGTTACAGCTACCGAAAAACAAATTTGGAGCGCCAAGAGCAAGCTTCTGAGACAGCCGCGGAGTGCACGACTGCATTGTAAGTCAAACGAAGTCAATTGCATCAGTCTTATGGGGATCGCCATCTCCACAAATAATGGTTTTCAGGACGGAAACAAATATATGGACAGAAATTTCGCTGTCTTTAGTTGGCAGAAGAACCTCTAAAAACTGCGTACTTAAACGAACTGTGGCAGGTTCGGAAATGGAAGAGTGGCCGGACATTCATTATTTCGAGATATCTGCTAAAAATATATCCTGTTCTTAAGGGAGGCCGAAATTTCATTGTTGCGACGGCCTTCAGGTAGGTTTGCAAAACTGGTATGTCGATTGCATACCTTTGGAAAAGCCGCAGGATTAGCCCGGTTAGTTGCTGTCTATACATGTGAAAAACTTGTATACAGCGTTTATTAACGCCTAAATCTAAGGGTAGAGTACAATCACGTCCACACCTATCTGTACAGCTTCTAGACGCACAAGTCTGAGTAGCATCGGGCTAGTCGGTTAGCAGCGTATTCATTATAAACCATTGGTAAATCGTCTGACTTTGTCCCTGTTTCCAAGCGGCAACTGCTCCACTCTCTTCGTGTTTCACTTAATTGCATTGTCAGGAGTTATCTGACTACTGGTTTTCTGTCGTGCTATCCGCTCCCATGCAAACAACAGTAGTAGCATCATTGTTGAGAATGATTGTGTGCTGGAATTGTGGTATTTCGTTGCAGCATGAAGAATGTAATGCCAGTATGTTTATGTAGAAGAACAGACACTGATGCTCGTTGTCGCCATTAAGCTTAGATGGGCCGGCCTCTGTGCACTTGCCTACCGATCATATTCCGTCGGATGATTTGCATCGGCATTAGCGATTTGCACAGAATGCCGTACTTGGGTACGCGCAAACATAATGGTTTAATTGCTGCACATACGTGTCCACCGGATCAAGCCCCGTCGACCAATATATCCGTTCTCACCCTGTCTACTCAGTCAGTTTTACTTGAGGGACCTACAAATGAGTAACACTTTTTCCTTAGGATTGATCATCTGTCCTGGTAATTACTGTCTCGAGCGGGAAGCGAATGCATGATCCGCTAACCCACGAACTGTGGACGGGTAGTATACTAGTATCCAGATATGTTGGTGAAGTTACTTGCAGTAACTTGTCAGCTACATATGTCAAATGTAATCCATGCATTACTCGATTGTGCTGCAACAGATGATATGCATTTTAGACGTAAGGTACAATCTCATGTGATGCGTTCGTATGCGGTAGTCAAATACCACTAGGTAAGGAGCTCGCAGCGTTCCCATTTTGTTTGCTTGGCTCCTGGTTAATCCATCATTACATTCTCCATTAGATCTAAAAACTGCACTACTTCATTTTTTCACTTTGACAGCTGAATCGACGGAACTCTGTGGGCTTGCTGTCGCTGCGATTGCCTGTGAAAAGTCTTCGGCCCTCATGGCCCGTTCTGATAACATCGTACTGGTGAGCGATGTGGTCGCGCAATATGCCCTTCGTGTGCCAGGAGAGCCGGCCCCTCCAAACTACCGGTCGCTGAAGCTACTTTTACGCCTAGGTGGCTACCGTTTGGCTTGGTTGGTGCCTGGTTTCATTCGAATACCGAAATTTCTATTTTTGTGGTTCCTCAGCTTTGCTTAGCAACGCAGCAACAACTCAAGGCTATTTGTGCATTTTTTTATAACTGCACACGTCCATAGTTAACCCACTTACAATTCCAGTCTTTATCTTATATCATTGTGCTTATTTGAGTGATCGGATTATGGTCTGTTGTACTGTATCCACTATGCACTTTGTACACACTGATAAAAGCATGTCTTCTCTTTTGTTTCGGGTCACATTTACAAATTGCCAAATCTCGAACTAGGCACCATCCTTTAAATCCTATTCAAGCAATCTGCTGCCTGTACAAAACGTGTAAATTGTGGTCTGACCGTGCCGTGCGGTAGGACGTGACCTGTTGTCGGGTAAATATCATTTTTCACCAACATGGGCTGCACAATCATAAGATTGTATCCAAAGCCGCTCGCTTTCGCAACTGAGGAACGTGTTGTTCATCGATATCACTTAAGGTGCCGGTGGTATTTACGTCGCACACAGACTTTTGCGGGTGTCATCGGGCGCACCAGTCGCTCTTCTGCTTTACTTTCTGCGATATCCGATTTTTGACCGCCGACAAACTTACATCTACCGTCACCTCTGTGCCAATGAGTCGCAACCCAGGACAAAATGTTTTCGGTCAAGCGCGTAGGTCATTGAACCGCCTCACTATCTCCAGAGCTTGTTTTAGGTTGAGAGCATGGGCCAAAATAACCCGAAGTGTCATCTATGTCCACTCAAACAAACGACGATATCCCTTATCAAGACATCTCTTGCACCAACAACTGGTGAAACATGTCAGCGACCGTCGTTTGATTAGATCCAACAGAGTGCCAAAATTTGACGAACTGAAGGGCCTTGAATTAGTTTGTCTTTAATTTGCGATTTTATTAGAGTAAGGTAGTTGGGTTGTGTACTACGCCCGCGTGACCACTGTTTGCCAAAGATATTCATGCGTTCTGCCCCAAACCTTTATCGTCGGGAGGTCCGTGTGCAAGGGGGTGTGTTGTTGCAAAATATAATGAAATCGGTCACATTCAAGCTTGGTGCAGTGGTATCTTCGCATTTTCCTTGTCGGAGCCCAGGTGATTCTCCTGGCGCATACATGGAGACCCTGCAGATGTGAAATTGATCCCGCCATTGCAGCACATGCCCTCCTTTCCTGATCGGGCTGCCTGGCTTAAGTCCACTTGGCGCGGATCACTAAACTCAAGTCCGGTGAGGTTAGCAAATGATGCTATGCGAATTCTACCGATTGTGCCGTTTTTCGATATGGTATCTAGATGTGCTTGTTCCACCGCCGCTGAGAAGTCATGGCATGCTATTCTCGATGGTCTTCCCGAAAGAACAAAGGACTTCTTTGCACCAGTACCTTTCCCGTTTGGTTCCCGTCCTCTGTTAGGCTTTTCCTTGTTCGACATTAAGGCCCCGATATTGAATACCTATGCATTTGCTGTTGATGATGATGGTCTACTGCAAACTCGAACCCGCTGTTTCCACTTTAGATGCCGGTGAATTTCGGAGCTAAGTGCGCTGATAAGGACCGACGCTTTCTCTGGAATTGATGCATCGATGCCTCAGCGCCGTTTACAGGACACGTGTTGGATTTCAAAACTTGGCGAGCTTCAAACCGTTTCCAACAGTTTCTGAGATTAAGCAAATCTACTTGGATGTGATTATCTTTTTAAATAGGCCGTCAATACTAGTAGTCATGGAGTAGTTTCACTGACTTACGATTGATTTTGGTACTCGCTCGGGCTGCAGGGGGGAGTGTAAGCTGAATTTATCGTTAGTGAAGCGTCTCTGTGGATGTGCTCAGGAGATGGGTAAGGGGAGTCATGTTCAATTAACCGCTTTAAGGAGAGACAACTAAGTGACCTTGTTATGATGGTGGTTATTACAATGCGAAATGAAAGGACTCTTCTCGTTGGACAGTTCACAATGGTGAAACCGTTGTTTATCATTTACATCCAATTTGGTCTGATTTAGTTCTGGCTGCTTATACAAGTAGAGGGTTTGGTCCGACTATAAGGGTCGTGTTGAGTAAAATGGAGTCCGGGGGAGCGATACATTAAATGAAATTTCAGTGGACGCGCTGAATTTTAAAATGCCCCGGGTAAATAGAGAAGAGTAAGCCTCAACAACCGACCTTGTCTTTGGATGGTTTGGTTAACCAAGCATACCCGGTGCGCAATAGTCGACGCCTTGACGCAAATCAGCTGGCTTGCTGGGATGTGACCGAGAACCTGTAGAGGCGGATTTGGGATTATAAAGTGAGGATATGGTCGTCTACTCCTAGGTTCGGGCGAGCATGAATATAAGGAACCCAGTCAGCACCGGTGCAGAAATTTCTGCAGAATGTCTGCACCCGGGTACGGACATTTCCGCACAATTTCCGCAGATTTCTGCACCCGGGTGCGGGACCAGTGCGGAAATGAAACAAGTTTCCGCACCCGGGTGCGGAAAATCCGTACCCAGTACCGGGATTTCCTCACTTAGCTAAAGTCGTCCGACCTTGTCTTTGGATGGTTTGGTTAACCAAGCATACCCGGTGCGCAATAGTCGACGCCTTGACGCAAATCAGCTGGCTTGCTGGGATGTGACCGAGAACCTGTAGAGGCAGATTTGGGATTATAAAGTGAGGATATGGTCGTCTACTCCTAGGTTCGGGCGAGCATGAATATAAGGAACCCAGTCAGCACCGGTGCAGAAATTTCTGCAGAATGTCTGCACCCGGGTACGGACATTTCCGCACAATTTCCGCAGATTTCTGCACCCGGGTGCGGGACCAGTGCGGAAATGAAACAAGTTTCCGCACCCGGGTGCGGAAAATCCGTACCCAGTACCGGGATTTCCTCACTTAGCTAAAGTCGTCCGACGCGCAAATATAGCCCATTATACGGATTTATCTCTTTCACTCGCACGATTCAGTAACATCCTAAACACTAGTTGATAACCCATCTGCCCCCACATAATTGCTCAGCGTATCACCTTTCCGGATATCAATAAGCGCCTTCAAGTACAAATGTTTTGATGAGTGAATTATAAAAAAATACAGGGGGAAGATCATTTGTCACTCTTGGTGGCTCTCTGCAGGCGTTTCCGAACTTTCTGCCGTTCGTTCTCCAGCCAGCGATGAACGATTTCCTTTATTTGTCGCGGATTTGTGTTCCGAAACTTCTCAGTTGTCGCGTCTGTAATGAAGAACATAGTTATTGAGTTTCATCCAGACACTGATTCAACTAGCTAAATATAAAATAACAATTGACTACTTACACATAAGTCCTTGGGCCAGCCTGGTTGACCCGAAGGCTTCTTCGTCATTTATTCCGCGCCAGTTGAGTAGTACGGCCAGCCTTGGAGCCAACGTCCGCGTAAGCACGTTGGTCACGTACACTTGTACATCCACTTAAGTAGATACGTTATCAGAGAGAAGTCCGGATCACGTGGAACGCTCGGTTGTCCTAAGGGTGCTACATTTAGTGACGGAAAGTTGATTAGCGCCCAAACGCGATTTCCGTCATCAACATAACGAAAGACTACGGATCGAATGGTTTCAAAGAGTGTAAATCCTGATCAAATTATGTACACATACAAATTCCTGAAACGAATTAACTACAGTCGATAACTCTTCTTGATTGTGTGGCTATTCCTCGTTATCTTTCGGCCCCAAAAATTATGAATGGTATTAAGAAAGGCATCGAAAAATCGGCACGATATTTCTGACGGTTCATTACCAGGTAATTCTCATCACATTACTTCACTGTCACAGTCGGAACACTTCCGTCCTTATGATCTTCTGATAAATTATCTCGAATCTCCTGCTGCTGAACAACCCACATTAAAGCGATTTGGTTGATACAGGCTTGTTACCGGGTTCTCAAGGCTCATTTAGCAACTGGAGGCTCCATCTCCAAAGCGTCCAACATGATCACATTCTGTTCTGGGCACCCTGCAATACTGTTCGTGTCTTGTTACCAATATTCAAACTATACCTGACATCTTCCTCTGCGTTCTTTTGGAGTACGAATTTCATTGTACCGTTGGAATTTTACTCCTCTCTTTAGCTTCGCATTTCCTTTAGGCCCCTCTTTATGTGAAGAAATTCTGCTTGGCTATAACAAATGTATCCTTTCTATTCTTCATTTTCAGTCAGAACAGAATGGGCTTACGGTGAAAAATTCTTTCCGAATCTAAGATGCATCACCCATAAGCACCATTGTGGCTACGTTATTTCAAAAACAGGTTTGGGGCTATCGAGAAATACACTCGTTTGCAAATCAATTTGGTTTTCACGGGAAACTCAGTTGAATTTCTCCAACTGAATGTGCTGCACACAGGCCGCCACATGATTCAGTTGGCACGATATTCGAGATATCGCAGTATATTTTCATAAAGGAAACTACTCACAAGGTCGAAGAGTTTTCAGCAACCTTGTGAGTAGTTTACTTTATGAAAAGTTTGGGGCTTAGTTTAAACATTTACCTGTTCACGAGGCCTTAAACGTTACTTGCTATCTACATGGAATATTCTCGAAAGCATCTTCTGCAGTGGCTTTACTTCAGATTGTTACTCAGTATACATAATTAGGATATTCACTGCAGCAAATATCTTCTATCGCCCAGCCTTATGGAATTGTGTCAATAATTCGTCACCAGTTGAATAAGGCAAGTTGATTCAGTCGGATTACCAGTATTGTGGTGCGATTATATTGGTTTTTCGTGTGGACAAAAACGTCAAATCCAAACAGGGTTTTCCAGCATTCTCATCGGAGCGGGGGGGATCACCTTTGGCGCTTAACGTTTCATCGTGTTTCAACGATCGAATCATTATTCCACAATTATTACTCCCCGTAATTCTGTTATATCTGTATTGTAGGCACATAGTAGTCACATGTTGAAATAGTCTTTGGGTGAACGGTGACATCAATGGGCCGCAGGCTATTGGCGCACCCAAATTAAGTTTGCCGAAACTATAGGGTTTTCGAAGTTGCCATTTTAATGCGAAGTTGGTCTAATCAATTTGCACCTTCCCGTGGCATGTTGCACGTAGCATTTTGTTTAAATGAGCGAAATGTCAAGGTCATTGACCATCGCCGATTTGCGTTTTTTGCCGGTTTACGCGACATAAAACACGAAATCGCACTTTCGCATATTTTGGCGTTTCTCGGTGTTCCTGAAGAATAAAAGAACATTTTAAGGGTATTTAATGCAAATGCCACCCTATAGGATCAGCCTCAGGCATTTGTTTACTTCAGAAAACTCAGATTTAACAAATGGGATATTTTTGTTCGGCGAACCTGCTGACAACACATTTTCCTCATGGATCTCATATTCCATTAAGTGCAATAATGTTGGATAACAGCGCAAACTTGCAGTGGCAGTGCGAGGGCCATCTATGGATGATCCCTTTCCCAGATATGCATAACTAGCTTGTAGAAATACAGTGTTACGAGATAGCCGTGGGCGTCTTTCTTATTATAACTAGGACGTTCTATAGGTGGTGACCACCATAAAGAGGTCACCACGATGACGGTGGCCGTTGTCACTCACCTCGACTACCTAGTGTAGTTGCTGGATTCGTGTCTATGTGCGACGCTAATTACGGTTTACCACATATGCGCGGCAACCCAATCCAATGAGCAACGACGGCCCCTTGTACTCGTATCTCTACTAGTTTTCACTCATCTCGACTACCTGTTGTAACTGCCAGGCTGGCGTTTATGTGCAATGTTGACAATGAGACTGCACCTATGCAGAGTAACATAATCCGATGGTCAATGACGGTCTTTTATACCCTTAGCTATGCGAGATGCCGCTTTTCCTCGCGAGCTACATCAATCCAATACATATGCCAACAGGTAAAAACAAGGACTGAACTATAGGTGATAGCATAATCTGACAGACTGTTATACTCACAACTGTACTCGAAGTCACCTAACTTGGCTATTTATCGTCATACTCATACTTACTCGATACCGTTTATGTTTGCTACCTTCGGTAAACATCACAACTGTAGTCGACGTAACCTACGTGACTACCTATAGTAACTGCCAGGCCCGCGCACATGCTCGTAGCTAACCATAATGCCCCGGCAACACATAATAGACTAACCCAACGATCAACGGTTGTCATCGCCTGTCAAAGTGCAATCACCACCCATTTTGATAGCCCACTCCCAACTCATACTCTTGATTGTACCCCATCGACCACTCCCTTTATTACCCGAAACACTGAACTGCCGCTTACCTCGACTACTTAGCGTAACTGCTATTCGCGACGCGGATTATAGGGCCTCAGCTATGCACGGTAACGCAGTACAATGGCCAGCGACGGCGCTCCATACTCATAACTCCACGGGTTGATAATGCGCCCGCCAATAATTTATGAAAACACCATTGGCGAATTGCATTTTATTCATT